TTCTGAGTATATTGCCGAAAATAAAAAGTACTGTTTCAAGGATGGGTACATTTTACATTTTCCTGATAGAACTATCACTAAAGTTTTATTTTAGAATGACAAATACTATCCTTTACATTGTATTTAAGAACGGCCATTGAGATTTCCAGATTTCAGTCTGTAATTTTAAATTGGCCAATGACAATTCTTCTTCTATGAAGTTCTTCTCTGTAAATTTCAAACTTTGCCTTAATGTGTAGCATTTTTGTTACGCACGAAACAACTTTTTAAAATGTACACAATTGGTTCAGATTAGAAAACGATAACAGACATAACAAATAAATGCTTTTATACATATATATTCGTACTTATGTTATTAAATTAAAAATATAGAATATTTGATATGTTGTAAGCCATTTTTTAGATGCAGAAGGCTCAAAATTGTCAGCGTTTTCTGTGACCTTGAACCAACATCAAGATATAGCAAGCGGAAACAATATTATGTACAATAACATTCTAACTGACGTAAATGGAGCTTATGACGTCACAACCGGTGTATACACAGCGCCATCTAGTGGACTTTACATATTCCATTACTTCGGGTAATTTTTTCTCACAATTTCTATTATTTCCTGAGAAATAAGTAGTCGTTTAACAACATCTGCGGATGTTTCTAAATTCAAAATTTCAAACCTAGCCTGTAACATTTTTCAATTTTGCCATGTTGGGATTTCTTTAGGGATTCCGTTTTCCTCTAGTTAAGTTTCCTTCTATCGGTGTTAATTGTGCGGGAAACCCGGACTAGGCTTCACAGACAAATTGGAAATGAAATATGAAAATACATAACGATGTGTGATATTTTAACACATAAAATTAACATCAATGTATTGCGTGTACGAGCAACTGCTTGCATTATTCTTAATTCACTTTCTACAACACTACGAACTTCGCGGTCTGGACTTTATTCCTGTCTAATTATTTTTATTTGGTTATGTTTTCTCGTTAAGTTTCAAACCACAGTCCAATGTCTAGCAAATATTAAACATCGAATTATTTTACTTTCTAAAATTTACTGCTTATCAATACAGCGTATTTCCTAATCAGATACATAGTCCTTTTTATCTTTATGATAATTTTCTTCAACTATTGAATCCCCTCAGTTTGTCTTATGCTGTCCATAGCCAGTACTGCGATCCCTTGTACGCTTGACAAGTCACTGTTCATTAGGCATACCTTATAGTAAATATAATATTTCAGCTTAACAGTTCTTATATTCTAAAATGCTATTAAATGTATTTTAAATAATAGTTTAGCACGTCAGAACAAGGAGTTGTACCAAGAACTATACCACAACAACCACTACGTTTGCTCTATCTACGGCCTAACAGACCAGGACTGGGCAGATGCCGGAAATACTGTTCTCCTTCACCTTAAACAAAATGATCATATCAGCATTCGTGCCCACGGAAACAACAGCATTTATGGAGATACAGATCAGATTTATTCCACATTTTCGGGGGCTCAGTTGGTGACAGAAAATGATATGTATTCTGGTCGTAAGTACTGAAACTAAAACTGGTACCTAATTCCTTATTCTGAATTATGCATAATAATTAAAATTTAAATTTTAACATACACGTCTAGATGAACGGATGCAAGTGCTTCGAGCTGCATGTACTTCACTTTCGTAAGTCTTAAAGCAGCATATTTACAGATTCATGCTTATTTTCATATACATTTTGGATTTGCATTTAAAAGTTTAACATCTTGAAGTGAGCAAAGAAAGAAATTAACACATTTAAACGCAATTACAACCCGCAAACGTTTACTGCGTTAGTCAGGCAGTAGAAATATTGTGATAATTACAGCAAAATCAGTGATAAATCGCACATTTTGTTTTTACTTGAATCTTGAATATTGTTTCTTGTCTTTAAATCTTAGTTCAGTTTTCAAGTTTGATTTTCTTGGAATATGCTGGCTCATTTGGAGGCATGCAGCTTTAAAGTCACAAATATTATAACAATTTAACATCTAAATTTACTCGTGTATAAAGACCTAGTCTCTCCGTACACTATTTCAGGCATGCTAAGACACGTGATATAATCACGAACCGTCATGATAGTATCTGAACAGTGAACCGTTGTAGAAGAAAAGTTAACCTTGTTAAAAGTCAGATTAACCATTGCCGAAAAAAGTGCGCTTGCCAAGTATGACTACAAATTACAATAAATTTCACGTTTTACATGCCGAATATCGTCTTTTCTAAACTACTGGACATAATTTAATAACATTTTGTTTGAGATGACAAATACGACAAATTGATATTTCTATTTTTAGAAGAAGCAATCATCGCGTTCTCTGTAGGTTTATCCCATCATGCAACAGTCACAGACAGCAACAAGGTCATGTTTGATCGTGTGTTTCTTGACCTACAACGAGTGTATAATCCACAAACCGGAGAATTCGTCGCACCTGTTTCCGGTCTGTACGAATTCAACTATCATGCTCTCGGCAAGCAAAATGGTAAATTGTGGCTCGAGCTGTATCACAATTATAAGTAAGTTTTGTCTATCTCTATATTGAATGTTGTCTATGAAGCTAAAAACTCAAAATAGTGTTCCTTTAAAGCTCTTAAACTGATTGTTTTGTTGTTGTTTTGTCGGAAAGGTATTACCTCTGGACATAAACTAAAAGATATTTTGTTCTTAAAAATATTAACCACTTTCTTTGCCTGATATTCAAAGTTTCATTTAATGAGGAACGTTGTCAACAAATTTCCAGGATGTCAAGCATGATTTCGATTTGGTTTGCCTTCGGTAATTAGCATTATTAGATCTACGTTTAGAATATTACTACTAGTATATTTTATTTCTGCCCTTACGTGCATAGAAAAAGGAAACTGATAAGAGATATATTTTACTATCTTATGTAGAAACGTAAAAGCTACTCTACTTGATGTATTTTGATTGGTCATTAAATCCTAATAAAAATACGTTTTTGTAATGTAGTCAAGAGCTCAAGTCTTTTTTACAAGAAAATACTGCAACATAATTGATTTTTAGAAAAACCACATTTATTATGAAATGAGATGTATTTTAATTATTTAAAGCATTTTACAGGTATGTGGACTCTCTCTATAGTCACACTCCAGGTCACTATGCAACAGCCGGAAATGCAGCCGTCCTTGACCTTGACATTGGTGACGTAGTTTTTGTTAAAGCTCATAATGACGTAGACCTGTATGGCACCAGTAATGAGATTTACTGTACGTTCACTGGATATTTACTTCACCCAGTTGGCAGTGGTAATGAAATTATAGGTTAGGGAGAATTTATATGAAAAAATAAACACAACAAAAAAGTAAACAGGTGTTGTGTCATTACTTGTTTCCACAGGTGGCCGATAATGAAAGGTTGCTCAGACAAGAATATTGAGCAGGTTTTTATCAGTATCAACACAAATACTGATATATACAGAAATAATTCAAAGATGGGAACAGATACTTGATTCGTAAATCGTCTGTAAATTTGAATGTGAAAGTATTCTTATTCGATTTGTTCTCCGTTGATCTACGCAGATTTTTTTTTATTTGTTTATTTATTTATTACACACCAACACAGTTTATGTCACATGACACCGAAACAGGAAAGCTGATTTTAGCTAACCTAGGATGTTACAAACTTGAAGCAACACCAGGGGTCAAAACCAACTCAACTGCTGGAGCTAATAATTGCACGGACTTCGGTAATTTGAACCAATTTACCTCTTACGACCACGCTGCAATGTTACAGTGATGACAGAAATGAAACTGTAGTCACTGATTATCACAGATAGGTAAAATACATTTGAGCCGCGCCATAACAAAACCAACATAATGGGTTTGCGACCAGCATGGATCCAGACCAGCTTGAACATCCGCGCAGTCTAATTAGGATCCATGCTGTTCGCTATCAGTTTCTCTACTTGTTATAGTTTGTAAGCGAACAACATGGATCCTGATCACACTGCGCGGATGCGCAGGCTGGTCTGGATCTATGCTGGTCGTAAACCCATTATGTTGGTTTTGTCATGACGCGGCTCATTTCTGCCATCAACGGCAGCATTTTTTCTTTGAGGACACCTGTAATATTTTCAAGACAAGAGACAATGGGTAGATAGTTGACTTGCGCGACCGTAAGTGGTGGGTGCTTATATGTATAATACGAAATCTTTCATTAATAAGTTTGATTACTTGAGCTATTTTGAAAATAGAAATAATTTCCTCGGATTTTTTTTTTCCGAAGCAGTCAATTCAAAATTACCTAAAAGATTATACAGTAAATGGACAGTAAGTTCACAATGAAGTTGTCCTTTTTAGTTGACCAAATATCACCTACCTATAGTAATCAGTAAACTTTAAATTTCTGCCCACTGATAAAACGATGTGTAAACCGTCATGATCCCGTAGTTTTGGGGTTTTTTTCTTTGAATTGGAGAAGATGCTACATTTTTAATTGCAATGCATGAATTCATGATTGATGTGGTGGAGTAACTTTCATAACTTTTTGATACTCAAAACACTGATCGACTACTTAAAAGAAAATTGTTTAATTTCATTAAGTTATTAATTAGATATTTTACGATTTAATTAACTCATTTTTATTAACTTATACTAAGTCTCATTAGGATTAATAACCATAACATAATATTTTTAATGTTCCGTGCGGTAGGACCAGTAATGTGTCATTGTGCCTTTAAACCCAAACAACCAAACTTTAATACACCGTTTTAATGCGTCCCGGTGGTTAATGAGAAAATGCAGAATGGAACAATTTTAACTACATTTTCAATTTAGGAATCAACTCAAGGATTATTCTTGTAAAGTTTCATCACAATGAGCCAACAAATGCTATGTTATAGAGCAAATGTTCAAAGCAAAGGTTGATAACAGATGTGACGGACAAGGGCCGACCGCAATAACTCGTCTAAATATTCTCTACTTTCCAGGTGAGCTAAGAGCACAAAATATAAAATAAATAGATATAACTATTAAGTCAATTTCCGCGTGTTTAAATCCAATGATATTTATATTACATATAGAATCAAACATATTTAACTCAAAACTTCAATATTCCTGTTTTGTTTATCCTATAATTTCTGTCGGATCAGATGAGGCAAATAGCAAGTATCCGGTGAATGTGCAGTAAATTTGGGTATGACCGCCGAAAAGGTTCACGTCACCATTGGCGTTGACGTAAACAACGTCGCCAGCGTCAAGTTCTAACACTACCGCATTACCGCCTGTGGCATAGTGGCCGGGAGTATGACTGTACAGTGAATTAACATACCTAGAATATACAAAAAAGTTATATCAATATATAAAATTATCACATGACCCTTAAAATAAATGACAGAACAAATCTACACTATCTAAGTGTCTATTCATAGTCAAGGTAGAAATGTACTTTTTTACGATTCCATTTTGGTTTTTATTTGGATTGTATTCCATGTCGGGAATATCCTTTTAAAGGTACTTTGAACCATTCGACACAGTGTAACTAAATAGAGAAATTCTATTTGCACGTTGCCTGCTGCATTTGTTGTTTTTGGATTTTTTTTAAACACCAGTTTGTGAAATGTGGAGAATGGTACTAAATGAAATAGTAGCGAGCCATACGTGATTTCAAGTGACATCATAAAAGGACAACCTGAATTAAAAGTCAAGAATTTAAAGTGAATTTGTCTACAATGGGTACATTTTCCAAAATTAAGTTTTCTTTATTCAAGACTTAAATAACTTGGAATCATAAATAAAAATGCAACATTGCTAACATGAAGGTACGGTGTCCTGTTACAGCCATCGCGACTAACATAACACGAAACAACGATGGTAAAAATACGATGATGAAAAGTCGAAAGTACGGGACACCGTATAAAACATATACCGGGTATTAAAAAGTTTTATCTAAACACTAGTGTTGCTTTGTTTCAATTGTATAATAATATTCAGCCATATTTACTGAATTAAAAAAATCACAAACCTGTAATTATGGAAAAGCTCAAGCCAAATTCTCGAATCTAGCTTCCCAAGGGCGTGAAAGTTGAACTCGTAGAGACCTCCAACTGGAGCAGTGAATTCTCCAGTCTTTTTATCATACACAGAGTTAAGGTCAAGAAATACTCGGTCAAATATGACTTTAGTATGACTGGTGACTGTTACATGATGGGATAATCCAACAGAAAACGCTACGATTGGTTCGTCTAGAAAAATAAATTTACATCAGCAGGGAAAAAAGACACTTACTAGAAAATGTTTCATGCTTAATATCTTAACTAGCTATTCGGGTTTTTTCAAAGAAGATTTTTAAGTTTTTGCTATACACATATAAGGAAAATCAATGTCTCCCGGGGCTGGGCCAATTTTGACCCCAGGGCTTTTATTTGAACAAACTTTGTAGACACTCAATAGAAGATGCTTCATGCTTAATATCTAAATTATAGCTATTTGATTTTTTTCAAAGAAGATTTTTTTAAGTTTTTGCTATACACATATAAGGAAAATAAATGACCCCCGGGGCGGGGCCAATTTTGACCCCAGGGCTTTTATTTGAACAAACTTTGTAGACACTCACTAGAAGATGTTTCATGCTTAGTATCTAAACTTTTAGCTTTTTGTTTTTTCTTCAAAGAAGATTTTTTAAGTTTTTGCTATATACACACATAAGGAAAATCAATGACCCCCGGGGCGGGGCCAATTTTGACCCCAGGGCTCTTATTTGAACAAACTTGGTAGACATCAATTAGAACATGTTTCATGCTAAATATCTTAGCTCTTACTCTTTGGGTTCTTTAAAAGACGATTTTTAAGTTTTTATTATATGCATATAGGGAAAATCAATGATCCCCTGGAGAGGGGCCAATTTTGACCCTAGGGCTTTTATTTGAACAAACTTGGTCGACACCCATTAGAAGATGTTTCATGCTAAATATCTTAGCTCTAGCTCTTTGGGTTCTTTAAAAGAAGATTTTTAAGTTTTTACTATATGCATATAGGGAAAATCAATGACCCCCTGGAGCGGGGCCAATTTTGACCCCAGGGCTTTTATTTGAACAAACTTGGTAGACACTCATTAGAAGATGTTTCATGCTAAATATCTTAGCTCTAGCTCTTTGGGTTCTTTAAAAGAAGATTTTTTAAGTTTTTACTATATGCATATAGTGAAAATCAATGACCCCCCTGGGGCGGGGCCAATTTTGACCCCAGGGCCTTTATTTGAACAAACTTGGTAGACACTCAGTAGAAGATGTTTCATGCCAAATATCTAAGCTCTAAGCTCTAGCTTTTTGGGTTTTTTAGAAGAAGATATTTAAAGTTTTTTTCTTTTGGTTGCCATGGCATCCAGAGTTCTGCATGGAATTAAATTCTTTGAACAATTTTTAAAGGTGACCACCAAAGGAACATTCCTGTGAAGTTTGGATGAAATTGGCTTAGTGGTTTATGAGGAGATGTCATTTAAAGTAAAAGTTTACGGACGACGGACGGACGGACGACGGACGGACGCCGGACGAAAAGCGATCACAAAGGCTCACCCTGTCACTTTGTGACAGGTGAGCTAAAACGGAGTTCAGGTGTATATATGACAATATCCTGATTGTCAGCAATTATTATGATACGCGCAATCAATCAATCAATCAAGGGTCTTAATTCTGAAACAACAAGGTACATATTTATAATATAGGTCAGGTGGATAATATATACTAGTACATTTTAAAAATACTTACGGCCTGACGAAATATCAGCCTCTCTAACTAATTGTGTTCCAGAAAATGTCGAGTAAATTTGATCGGAAGTTCCAAACAAGCTGCTGTTCCTATGCGCACGCACACTAATTTGATCATTCTCTTTCAGATGGAGTAATACGGTATTACCAGCGTCTGCATAATCCTGATTGGTACGGCCATATATAGAGCACACATATATGTTGTTGTGAAAGAGTTCTTGCCAAAGTTCTTTATTTTGACGGGTTAAACTGTAAGCAGAACAATTTAAACATGTACTGCCTTCCATAAGCTTAATTAGGTCAATATAACGGGAAGTACAATGATTAAGTTATGAAACATTTTTGCATGTTGGTTTTTTGCTTCACGGCGAGTGGAGCAATGAAAATATCACCAGGACCGATAAGGCTGCAACAATTTATTTTGAAACAGATGACATAATGTTTGAGACAAAATGCACAGAGATTTATTGTAAATGCTCAAGCAAAAATGTTTGATATCGAGATTTCTCTTCATTGATCAAGTGTCTACAAAGCTTAAGGGCTATGAGTGCAACACCAATAATTGACAAATGAGTCCAAATAACAATAAACGAAGGAACCATGAACCTCCTTTGCTATAACAAAGGGGCCCTAGATCGCTCACCTGAGAACATAGGAACAATCGCAACTAATCGGCCCTTTCCGTCAGTCTTCGGATAAGGACCTCGAACACAATAGTATGAATACACAGAACGGATGCGGTATTCCGGTCTAACCTACGCTAAGAAACTAAACATGTAAACAAATAGTAATTTAATGCTGGGAGTTGTTGACAAGTTTATTTCCATTATATGTAGTAAAAGTCCACCTAAAATAAGTGAATTCATAGGTACAAAAGCAAACAATACATTATTTATATATTTACTAATATGTAGAAACGGAAAGTACAAAAAACCAACCTGTTGACATTTAGTCGGATTTGTTTAAAAATGGAACATCAGTGGGCATATTTAAATTACAAATTGTTGTCAGACATATTTTCAAGCATAAGAGTACCGGAACAGACATTAGATGTCAAATATGTACATTCGTTTTACATTATCTCTGTTTCTGTTTACATCTGTAAACCACGTGGTAGAACTACTTTCAATCCGTATTGTTTCCGAGGTTATTATAGATAATAGCCGAAGCAGTTCCGAATGAACATAGGAACTCTGGAACAGGACCCACGGTGCATATCCATATCGGTACCCTCTTTGCGAAATCTGCTCAAACGGTACCCTCTCTGAACATGCACAGGTCATTCTCTGCTAAAAACAAACCAGCGATGGATAACAATACAGTAAAATTTCATTGTAATAAGAAAAGGAGGTATGACACGTAGAAAAGATGTATACCACGGAACACTAGAATGTTTTATTTATGTGCTGATTTGTCATGTGCCCGATTTTCATAATTCATAAATTCATAAAAACACCCTACTTTCGGTTTTGCAGCGGCACGGGCTACCTCTCTTCATTTGAATTTTTATATCACAGGTACCCTCTCATTTTTTAACACATAGGTACCCTCAAAGCACGACATATGCTTTTATTTGCGTTAATCGTTAAGTATGTAATATTTACATAAAAGTAAAAAGTATTACATACACACTTAACGATTAACGCAAATAAAAGCATATGTCGTGCTTTGAGGGTACCTATGTGTTCAATAATGAGAGGGTACCTGTGATATAAAAATTCAAATGAAGAGAGGTAGCCCGTGCCGCTGCAAAACCGAAAGTAGGGTGTTTTTATGAATTTTACATTTATTTTTGACAATATACTGCCATTTGTCCGAAGATGATATGTTTATGAACATATTGAATATGTATGATGCATATATAATCAAGCCACAGGTTTATTTCAGCACGAAAAATATGTCGAGGTGATGGGCGAAACAAGACCTGTCGATTTTTTGTAGCTTATTGTGAAGTTGCAGTTCATGAAAATCGGGCACATGACAAATCAGCACATAGAAAAAACATTCTAGTGTTCCGTGGTATACATCTTTTCTACGTGTTATACCTCCTTTCCTTATTACAATGAAATTTTACTGTATTGTTATCCATCGCTGGTTTGTTTTTAGCAGAGAATGACCTGTGCATGTTCAGAGAGGGTACCGTTTGAGCAGATTTCGCAAAGAGGGTACCGATATGGATATGCACCGTGGGACCGCATATTGCGGCGCATAAATCCGTTACATCCGCCATTTACCGTAACGTTCGGCGTAAGTTATCCCCCTTGATATGCTTGATTTTTGTTTTAATTTTTCTAGTACTCTCTTTATGTCACTCAATACATGGAAAACTTTCACATTTCCTAGTAATGAATACCAGATGAGTGCCTAAAATATTTATCTATGGATCATGTTTTAATATTCCTTTTTTCATTTAGGCAAAATCAGTTGGACCATATTACTAGAGTGTCTGTTTTCTCCATGTTAACAAATCAAAACACGAATACGCCCGTTATAATGCCGCCTATACATGTCAACATGTGTAAACAATAAACTGTGAACGTTATATCCGGACGATACCCCATAGTTACAAAATTCTGAAAAATAGTAATCAATTGTAGCCAAAGGGGAAAAACTCATGCCGAAAACGTTGCGGCGAATGATGGATGTCACTCCTTGTCTTTTTTATAATAGCGTAAAATTTGACCAGTTTTAAAGAGACAGATTGGGTTCAATTGATAATATATTTTTAGGCCATATACTCGGATAATACTAAAAGATATTTAG